GTCTTATTAAGCTATAAAGCATTTTAAAACTGAGAAGAAACAGACACAAAAGCAGGCACCATGAAAGCAGGATGAAAATGTAACCTCTTCCAAATACTTTTACACTGACTCAAAAATATTAGTTGCAGTGGATCAAGCGGGTCTTTCAACAGGAATCCTCAGGAAATGTCCCCTAACCAAACCCACAACTATAAAAGGATCTTTAAAAATTAATTTATTAGAGATCCCAAACACAAATTACAGTTCTGCTGGTATACCTGCACGTGTTTCTGAATCTGATTTGCTAAACAAGATCCCTTCTCAACAGGAAATATAAGGTCTTTTCTTACTGCAACTTTCTTCTTGTATTCTGAACCTTGTAATCGAGAAAAAAATCTGATTAAATGGGTCACATACAAAGACTTAGTAAGTCAAAGATGTAGATTTCCTGGACCAGATGAACATGGTGTACCAGAGTACACCAGGTACTCAGATGCCAACTCAGGATAAAGGAGCATGACAACAAATATGGTTTGGATTAGGTCACACGTGCTGACTTTGAGATAACTTTGGCCTTCATCCCCATACACCTCAGAGAGATGGGAAAACCCAGGACCTTTCGGGAAGAACACTGCTCCTTGGAAGGACCATTCTCCTGATCAAGAGAGTACCACTACCCCAATGGGTCCAGGGGAGATGGCCAGGAAATAAACCCCACATGGTGATGCTACTAACAGAAGGACGTTGACTTGTGAGTTGCAAACCTGCAGAGGACAGCAAATAGTCACTTAGATTAAAACTTTACCCAACACAGACGCTTTCATCTTCAGAAAGGCAGTGGCTTTTTGTGCAAAGAGAATCACAGACTGGTTTGGGTTGGAAGGGACCTTCAGGATCATCCAGTTCCAACCCCCTGCATGGGCAGGGACACCTCCCACCAGCCCAGGCTGCTCCAAGCCCCATCCAACCTGCCCTTCAACACTGCCAGGGATGGGGCAGCCACAGCTTCCCTGGGCAACCTCAGAGGTCTCCCCACCCTCAGATCTTGTAAATTTATCTTGTAAATAAGCTCCAAACGGGCAGTTTCCCAGGGGCCCCTCCCGGCCCTGCCAGGGCCGTGACATTTGTCACCACCAGCCCGAAGAGCCACAACCCCCCCGGCCCAGCCTGACCCCGGCACTTACTCCTCATGCTGAGGTCGATGGGGTTGAGGCTGGCGGCGTGCACCTTGATGATCACCTCGTTGGGGAAGTGTATGACGGGGAACACCATGTCCCTGGTGAAGCGCAACACCTCGTTGGGGCCGTACCGGTCGATCACCCAGGAGGGCATGCAAGTCCGGGCTCGGGGAGAGGCGTGGAGCCCGCGGGAAGGCGGCCGAGCCTTTGCCCGAGCCACCACCCGCCCTCC